GATTTGCTGCATATCGTGATATTTAAACAGATTATTTGTGAAGCATAATTTTTTTAAAAAAAATGGTTTGAGAATCATTATATCATGTTCTTTTTTTTTCCAATAAAAATTGGTTCAAGATCATGTCCACATCTATCCAAGATGCAGGAGATAGACATAGGTAATTGCTTTTATGACCAAACAAAGTTGAACCAGTATGTTAGGGAGCAAATAAATTTTCTCTGGAGATTACTCCATGAAAACACGTGGAAAAAATTTCCCCCTGAACCTTGACAAATGAATAAAAGAATAACTTTTTTTTTTATTTTGAAAGTTCTAATGTTTCTGTGGGTTGTCGTGTAGTAGCCCAGCTTGTGAGATGGCTCAGTATGTAAAGGTGCCTGCTGGTGCCAAGCCTGGAACCCACATGGGGGAAGGAAAGGACCGAGTCATGCCATATGTGTGTTGATACACACACCGACACACACCTGACTCTCAGGTCCTGCAGGAGTTAGGGATTTAAGTTTCTTATCTTTAGCTTCCCGCTGGTGTTGATCTGAGACAGAGTGGTGGTTGTACAAGTACAAGTTAGTTCATATTCTGTGGTGGTTTAAAGATCTTGTCCAAGTGCAGAGCCCGCAGTCAAGGCTAACTAACACTTTGTTGTGTCTGGAACTCAGTGTGGGGGACATGGCAAAACAGCAGGAACATCCGACTAAAGAGTGCACAGAACTTGCAAGGCTTCATAAGACAATGATTACAGTGCAGATAAGTCTCATAATGTAAGATGGTAGTTAGACAGCAAAAATACTGAGAACTTTAGCGTGTTTTTATTTGAGCACCTTGTTGATACTCTGCCTCATAATGGCTGTTTCCCAGGAAGCCATGCCTCTGTAAGAGCTTGAGAGCGGGGTTTTAGAGAAACAAGTTCCAAGGACCCCCAAACCAAGCACAGATGATTCTGAAGTGGTTTGCAATGGGAAGCCATTATTTCTTTTTGTGTTTGCCCTTGGAAATGAAAGAAAACACTGAAATAGCCAATATTATTATCAGAAATGGAGTTCCCAGAGCACATGGCGTTCTAGAAAGTGATATGAGGCTATGCCCAGTCATTTATGAGGATGAACAAGGAAATCATTTGCTACCAGGGTCGCTCAGTCTGAGCAGCAGTCCTCTTAAAAAGGTTGCTGGGGACGGAGCTGCCTTGGCATGTACCTAAAGTCGCTCCCACCGCCCCTCGGAGATTTCAAGTAGAAGTTAGGGACTAATCACAGACATGAGACTCTGACCATTGGATTCTAGTCCCAGCTCAGCACTTAACTTCCTTGTGTATTAACTTGGGTAAGACTCAGAACTCCCTGCCTTGTCTTCCTCATGTGTAAAATGAGATTAAGCTAAACTAATGTTCTCCTCGCAGAGAATATAATAAGAGCAAAAATCTGCAAAAACTATATACATGCACAGTTTTGCTCCAATGAAAAGAAATGAGACAGGGCAATGGATCTGTGATTTTGCTCTTTTCGTTATTCAAAGTTCTTGAGCCTTCATGAAATCATCTGAATTCAAAGTTTCCTACCTGTAGTCCGTAGATGATGGTGGATTGTGTGGATAGGATTCAGGGTGGTGTGAGGTTGGTAGAACTATAAAATTTATATTGATTTTTACTAGTCCCTAATTTGAAACTTAGCATTTTTTTTCAGTACTCAGTCAGATTTGTCATAACTGTGACTGTATCATGAGTGGACTAGGATACTTGGATATCACATTATAGTTGTTCCTGATATTTGAAATGATTTGTGCATCACATATCTTTGACATTATGGTAATCACGAGAACTGCTGTTAGACCTGTTTTTAATCTATTAAGAATCCCACAGAGAGACTTGGGAGATATCTCTGTAGGTAGAGAGTGCTTGCTTTTTAAGCATGAGTACCCGAGTTCAAACCCGAGGACCTACATTAAAAAAGAAGCCAGCCATGGTCGTACATGCTTGTAATCTTAGCCCTTGGGAGGCAGAGGCAAGGTGATCATAAGTTCAAGGCCCATGTGGACTGCATAGTAAGACCTTGTCTCAAAGTAAAATTTAAAAAATAAATAAAATCTCTTGGTGTTGTAATGTAATAAGAACAGTGCGTTGTGTGATGTAAGGCGTAGCGTCTCATTCTGTAGTCCGGGAAAGCACCGGTGCTGTCATCCTGGAAGGTGTAAGTCCAACTGTGCCAGCCCACTCAGAGCGGGGAGGAGTGTAGTGAATGCTAGGCGATGCACACAGCCTTGCATTAATACCTAGACAATGCTGGGCCATCAGGGAGATCATCTGGAAACACATACAAAAGGCAGATGTTTGCATTTTACTTTTAAATTTCGTGTATTTGCCATCATACATTTTAACCTTAAAAATGACAGTGACTGAGACTGCCATACCCCCTGGGACCTTTGCTCAGCCCTCCTCGGAGCACACCCTGGGAGCCCATACGTGCGTCTGCCCATAACTGTCTTGGTTCCTTCGCTTCTCACTCTGGTGCCATACTCTCTGCTGACTGTACTTGGCACCTAACAAAATAAAACTGAGAAGTTTATTCCGGGGTATCTTTTGAGTCTTCCCTCCTAGTTTGACTTTGTGCCTGAAAGATTGGGATCCCCTTACAAAAGCACAGCAAAGAAACTCGTATTTAATTTCGACATTGCGTTCATCTCCATTTCCAGTGTTGGCTATTTGAGCTTCCTCCATCATAGACATTTAGAGGAATGATCTTCCTGGGAATTGACATTGTTCTTCGTTTTATCTGATCATGGTGACCTTACCAGGGAGAAAACACATGTTTAAGGTTTTAGTAACATGCAACAACCTCGTGCACCAAAGACTTTTTTGTACGACTGAGGACATGGCTCAGTCGGTAAGTACACTTGTTACGAAAGCAAGAGGACATGGGTTCAAATCCTTAGCATCCACATAAGAAGCCTGGCCTGGCTGTGCAGCCTGTAACCCCAGTGTTGGGGACAGGGAGATTTGAATAGGATTCTGGTCAGCCAGGCTCGTCTAAAGGCCAGTTCGTGTTCGGTGGGAGACCCTGTCTTAAAAAATATCATTAGAACCGTGTGGTGGTGGCACACACCTTTAATCCCAGCCCTTGGGAGGCAGCGGCAGGCAGATCTCTGTGAGTTTGAGGCCAGCCTGTCTACAAGAACTTGTTCCAGAACAGATATCAGAGTTACAGAGAAATGCTGTCTTGAATATAATAATAATAATAATAATAATAATAATAATAATAATAATAATAATAATAACAGAGCAACAGAGGAAAATACCTAACATGCTCCTTTGCTCTGTGCATATGTGATCATGATCACATGTACCTGTACACACATGTGCATCACCCGTACACACATGCATGTGGAGACAGAAAAGAGAGAGGAAGGAGGGAGAGAGAGAGAGAGAGAGAGAGAGAGAGAGAGAGAGAGAGAGAAACTTTCAAAAAGGGTAAATGATAAACTCAAGAGTTTATGACTTTATAATCTTGCCTTTCTACAAAGTTCTACATAGGATTCACCGACCACATCCCTTGTAAAAATGGGATGCAATATATTTCACTGATTAAAGATTTTAAATAAAGCTCAGCATTTAGAAGCACTTGAGACCCTTGTAGGGGACCTGAGTTCAGTTCCCAGAGCCCACAAAGATGCTCAGAACCATCTTTTTTTTTAACCTCCAGTTAAAAAGGGATCTGGTGCTGTCTTCTGACCACTGTGGGCACTGGGTACACATGTAATGGCCAGATAAATACTAGTAAACTTTAAATAAGAATAAATATTTTGATAATTTCCATGTTATATTTGTCTGATTTTTTTTTTTTTTTGCACACCAGTTTCAAAATTCATTTGACCACAGAGTGCCCGCCCCCCCACCCATGTTTACCTGATAAGTAGGTCACACCAGAGAGTACCTCTCTGCAGCGTCCTGCACTTACATGCTGGAGATGCAGCTACCATAGCACTCCTTCATTCTTTACAACAGCAAAGGGGACTCTAAATGCTTTCCATCCAGCAGACCAGGGCTCACAACAGCTCGTCCATCTAAGCGGGCGCTCTTACCGCTCGGTTTACAGATGGGAGAACTCCGCAGCATAGGCTCCCAGCCTTGGAACTCTTCACATGTGGGCCATAGCTTGTTCTAAGGAGATGTCCCCTATGCAGTGCACGGTGTTCAGCCCCGTTCCCTTCCTTCCCTCGTGCCCACCAACAGGACTTGAGCTGCTCCTGGCTGAGAATTGCTGTTGTCAACTTGTACCAGAAATACACTTTCTTGAATGACCTTCTTAGTGACGGTTACAATGACTCATGGTCATGACTGGGCAAATTGCACACTGCAGACCCTGTGTCCGCACCAGGCAGAAGGCGCATGCGTGGGGCGGATGTGAGTTAAACTTGACCCATCCTCCTCTATCGTGCAGCATTTCCACACCTTGCTACTCGTGAGAGCCAAAGGCTACAATTCTTGATTCTGCTTTGAACTTCTTTTAATTGCCCCATGCACACAACCCCAGTTCACGTATTGTTTCTTTTCCATACTTTCCCTTGGACTTGACCCATCATCCACACGCAAACACACAGGCAATCTTCATGTTCTCTGTGTAATAGAGAACTTAATATATCTGAATTGCTTCACAGCAAGAATTCATGTCTCAGCCAAGACTCGCAGCTGCCAAGAAAAACAAGCTGGGTAATGAATAACTCACAAAGATTTGGTAAAGAGAAAGGAAAGTTATATGATGAAGTATATTACTTAGATATTGAGTTTTGTTTATTCAGTGTGATAACTTGTTAAATTCACACAAGTCAAACGAGTTTGAGGCTTTTTGGTCATTGTTTCTTTGTAATTTTATATTCTCTTTTCAGGAGTAGCTCCAGGGGGCGGGTAGGAGAGAGAGAAGGTGGGGGGGACAAGGGGTTGAGTTTGATTGATTTAAATCCTAGTCTTTCCAAACATGCTAACCATATGACTGGTGTCCTTTTTCCCCCTAAGGGTTTGGTTCCCCACCAGCAAGATGAGGTAATGATGTGAAACTGATCACATTGTTGAAGAGTTGACATGAGAGAATGTGTATCAGCATCCAGCTCAGGTCCCTGCCTGTAAGTTTCCCATTTTCCTTCCTGGACCAGCTTTTCTGATGACTTTATGTTTGTGATCGCTAGGTCTAAAGCAGTTGTTTTGGAGAGAGACAGAGACCGTCGAGTGGTGTGCAGATAGCTATTAGAAGGCATGGCCCGGAGAATAGGGGGATACACAGGGCTCGAGGTCACTGAACTTTGAAAGATTTGTATTTAAAGTTAGTAGGGTGGCCTAGGGAGGGACAGAAAGGGGCCGCAGAGGGTCTCAGTGCAGCCAGACCTCACCCTCTGGTTCCACTTTGAGCAGACATTTGAACGCCTGCTATGTGCTGAGCACTGCAAACCCTGGCAGTGGAAAGACAAAAGTTAGCTCTTCTGTCCTTGTCCCGTGGCTCCTTAGAATTAGTGGTCATGTGATGTCTTTGTGCCGACTCTGTCCAAGCGATCTGTGCTGCGGCGACTGCTAGCTTGGCTGAACTCAGAAAGAATGTCTGGCTGCATTAGTGCTGTCTGCCGTGGGAAAGAGATAAGGGCAGCGGCGGCAACACGGGGTTCGGTAGACTCTGCTCCAGGCTTTCAGCGGGAGGGGCTGACTGACCCATTAGGATATCGTGAAGTCAGCTTTATGGGTCACCCTGGGTGTTATTCAGGAAATGAAAGAGGGGAGCTAGAGAAACGTGCAAGTGAGTTGTTCATAGCGACCTATTGCTTTGTGAAACCTTGGGAGGTCGTGCACAGGCTGGGTAGCAGGTCACAAAAGTATGCCTTTCTTATAACGAGTCCCATAAAAGATGTAACCACGCCCCACTTTTGTTTTTTGGGAACGGCACACACACTTAATAGTTTCAATCCTATTAATGAAACACTGGACAAATGTTTATCCCGGCAGTCGTCCTTCAACACATTGAGTCTGCTTTTGTGAACACATCTGTGTGGAGAATGTGTAACTCGGTAAGTTCTTTGAGGAGGCAAGCAGACTTTCTGATTTACAGCCAGAAGGTCTGATTGTCCTGTCACACGGCAAGAATTTATAGAAAAAGCATCAGAGTTAAGCACGGAAGGTAGAAGCACCTATATCATGTGCTGGGAACGTGCCTACCATGAGGGATTAGGAACCGCGAACGCCATTTTACCGGTTGACCTAGTTGTTGGTCCTGTGTATTCCAGAAGCATAGAGAGAGAGAGAGCAGTGAAACCCAACGATGAGGATAAGAAAGGTGCTTCTGGAAGGGGAAAGCGTCTGGAAACCATGAAGATTAAAGGCTCAGAATAGGAAGCTTAGGAGCAAGGCCAGAAGGGCCATCCTGTAACAGAACTGGGTTCAAACTGGTTCCACTTTTCTGGCCTCTGTGGCCCTTGGCAGAACACTGTACTCTTAGACCCTTCATTGTCTTACACGTGAAATGCACGTGACAGCATGCTTCACAGGGTGATTATCCAGATAACTAAGATAAACAGAAAGTTTATATTTAAAAGTATCCATTGCATCATGAATGGCCAGATGCTTTGTCCCCGAACGCTAACCTAGTTAGAGAAAACCAGTGCCTTACTTGCTGTTGTAGTTGGGCTTACAGTTTCCGAGGGTCAGAGTCCACAGTGGTGGTGTGAAAGTGTGGTGACAGGAACAGCTGAGAGCTCACATCTCCATCCACAAGGAGGAGGCAAAGAGGAGACTGGGAATGGTGTCTTTGCATCTTTTGAACCCTCAAAGCCCGCCACAGTGACATACATCTCCCATGAAGGTCACACCTCCTAACCCTTCCCAAACAGTTTCACAGTCTCAGTGCTGAGTATTCAAATATACAAGCTTTTGGAAGCATCGCAACAGCGATTTGATGTTTCCCAGACCTTGGGATTCTGTAATCCATTAATTTCCTATTTGGAACGCTTTAAATAATGAAAATTTACAAATGAATACTTTGCCCTTCATGAGCTACTGGCTTTTAGAAGCTGATATTTAGTACATGTATGCAATTTTACATATTTATTGGCAAAATATTATAATTCTGAGCCCTTAAGGAATAAATTTTTTGGTACTTTATTCCCCTAGCAAGCTCTGACTGTTTCTGTGCTGTTCGTATTTCCTCTCTCAGACTATTATGTGCATTATGAAATTCAGTGAGTCTCTGAACAGTTATTATAATTTTAGGGACTACCACCAAATATAAAGAAAAGTAAATAACATAAAAAGTTGAAATTATTTTTTAAAAAATTCAACTAACATTATGAAATTTCTTAAGGCTAAATTGGCCATTCTTAAGACTAAAGAAAATAATTTTCTTTACTTTTTTTTTAATAATTCCATGCATGAGTACTGTATTGACATCATTTCCACTCCTTCTCCTATCAAACTCTTCCTATGCCCTTCCCCATTCCCTCTCAAACTCATGACTTCTTTTATAATTATCATTTTTGCAGATGTATGGGTACATGACCTGCTGAGTCCATTCAGAGTTGCTCCTATGTATAAAGTTTAGGGCCGTCCACTTGTGACTGGACGACCTCTTATGGAGCTCCTCCCTGGGGAAGACCGGTCCTTCCTTTCTCTGCCGCCACCCCGGTGGGGCCCAGTGACGTTGGCGTGTTGTCTGCTGTCACCATGCAGGTCTTGCTTAGGCAACCAGACTGCTGAGATTTCATGCCGCATCCCTTTCTTTAGAGCATCCTGCGTGTTGAGAAGATACTGTCTAGAAACAGGCATCCTGGTCCTCTAGTTCTTCCAATCTCTGTACAGCATCAAACTGAGGGAAACTTAGAAAAATTACGTGTCTGCCGTGATAGTAAGCATTTTTTACATGCTAAGCTGAAAGACGGTCATGAATGTAGCTAACTAAACATCATTTCCCGCAAAAGCCAAGACTCCGAACAATTTTCTAGAGTAGGCTTAATTTATTTGTATTTATTACTCATGACCCCTTTTCACCTGAGACATTTATACATATGTAACATAGGTATGCAAATAACATTAGCTGATAATAAATTACAGAGAATTATTTTAAAACCATATAATCTTGCCACTTCACAGTACATACATAGTAAATTTTCATGCTAATGAGAAGGGTATGTTTATTTCCCTTTATGTACAGAAATTTGGGCTGGTTATTTGATACTGCAAAAAGAGCACATACTCACTTTTCAGAATTGATCTGTATTTTTATAATTTTTATAATATTTAGTGGAGATGCCCCTTCACATACTTACAGAATTCACATAAAGCATAAGCTTCCTCAGAGCCCTTTCAGAAATATTTGGAAAGAGTGTCATACTGTGTAGTGACTTGACACATTAAATAAGTGGATGGATAAATAAATAAAAAGACTAACCCTCTGGAAGGCCATTCAGCCCAAAGCCTTCTACATAAGCAGAAGCCCTGGAGAATGAATGATTGTGTCCCCTCAGCACAATTTAAATTTGAAATATCATCTTTTCAATGTCCTTAAAAATTCAGGTATGGTGGCTCATCCCTATAATTCTAGCACTTGCTGAGACAGGAGGATTACTGTAAGTTCAAAGTCAGCCTGGGCTATACAGTGAGTTCCAGACAAGCCTGTAGAGTAAGACCTGTCTAAAAAATATTTAAATTGACTTATATGATTGATCAGCTTCCACTGTCTGAGGGAGTCATGGTTCTTAATGATCTGACATATATACAGTAAATCGAGCTTGTGGCTTAGGAACCACAAAGAGTGTGCATAAAGGGAACTGGAACAGGGGATGCGGTCTGCCTCTTCTGATTTATAGTTTTGGGAAGCAGGGTTGGGATAACAGACCCTTGAGATCAGAAGGAGACTTCAAATCATACCTGGTCGGTTTCCATTTTACTGCCTGGTGATTCAATGTCCCCTCCTTGCTCAGAATAGTGTGTTTATATGTGCTTGGGCCCTACAGTTGTGTGTTGGGGGGTAATACAGTGTCCAAAGTACATTCGGTTTTTCTTTGGTCTTTAGACTGACCTTACATTTACCTGAAAGAAAATTCAGATTTCACTATTTTATATTTACAGCGCCCTATGATTTTGAGGTGATTGGATCATGGATGCGAAAACAAAAGTACTGTCCTGAAAGATTATAGGTTGCAGCTCCTGTGATTTTATTTTTGCCCTAAAAAGTAGATCTGGGGATAAAACTTGGTGGTAGAGAGCCTAGCCAGCATGCACAAGGCCTTGGCTTCAATGCCCATCACAGAAAAAAAAAACATAATTATTCTAGACACTTATATTTTATCTTCAAAGTGCTTGCTGAATATTAATTAACTTTTCGAAACTTTAAAGGAACTCCAGCCAGCTTTGCCTTTTTGTAGTGAATATCTCACTGGAGGCAGGTGGTGTAAAATTGAGCTATAATTGAGCTAAAATAGAACTATTAAAATATCCTTATTAATAAGATGCCTGGGCTTCAAAGAGGAATGATCTGAGTGGGGTAAAGTAATGTGCTTCTAAGAAAATAATTTGGTTCATGCTGAAGAAAACTGACTCTATTGGCTTGGCCAAATAAAGTACTTTAATGGTAAGTAAAATAGACCTGTTAAGTTTGGTTCCTGCATTATTGAGACTGTGTGGTGATCCTTGACCTGATATGTGCTGTATTTCTAGACTTGGGACCTTAACTTTTTCCACACTTAACTTGAGAAATAGCTAAAGGTAATGAGTAAACTCAGAGTTAATCCATCCCACTGACTGGCCTAAAATAGCAAGAGTTGAAATCAAAAATATAAATATATGTTTAAAGTTTAGAATATATGTTAACTTTTAAAGTGATTTTCATGAACTTCGGACACTGGGTTTCACTGATGGGTTTCCTTTTTAGGCGGTTATCCTAACGCAGCACATTATTTCCTTAATTGCTCCTCTCCCTGCTAACACTTCCAACCCCTCCTACACCATGGACTGATACCAAAAGTGAGTTAATATTCAACATTGTGGTAATGTGGAAGTAGATTAAATACCAATTACATATGTAACTCTTCTCAATTCCTTCTGTGTGGTCAGGAAACTGCTAGAATATAATGAAAAGAAAGATATTGCAGACATGTGCAGAAATGATCTGCCATAGAGGAAGGAACTAACCACCCACAAGAGTATAGTTCAAGGAGTGCCGTGATGGCTCCTTCCTACAGGATCCTCGGGTTTCTCGTGTGGAGTCTGGTCTCTGTCAAAAGCAAGTTCATGCCTTGACCCATGGTGTATTTTCCATAGATGCTGCTTCCTGCTGTCAAAGTCAAGATCTCTGCAAGTTACACTTTCAGGATAAGGACAACAGAGCCTATTGTTTATAGTTCCTGGCTGTCTCTGGTGCCTGAGCCGGTGGTGTATGGTGAGTCTTCAATCTTCCCTAGTGAAGCTCCATCTTGCCGCCTCTAAGGTTTGTTTGTTTGGACCCCTTGTGTCTCAGGCTGGCCTTAAACTCACTACAGACTCAAGAATGGCCTCGAACTGCTGATCCTCCTGCCTCCACCTCCTTTGAAAAGTGATTTAACATTAGTTATACAAATTAATGGGGTTCCGTGTGTTCTTTCATTTACAAATACAATGTGCACTGATCAAACTCATTCTCCCTATCTGCCCGCCTCTCCCTCCCAGCCTCTGGAGCCATGCTTCTCTTTCCAGTGTTTGCTTGTCCAGCCCAGCATCTCTCCTCCTGGGAAGCCTTCCACGACCCCCTTTCAGTCAAACAGTTCCGGTTTTCCCTCGGTTTATTTCATCATAGACATTTCTAGCTTTGCTTATAGTGCTGTGTTTATTTTTTTTTCTGCTCACCTTTTCCTTGTAGTTGTTAGCCATCCATTGATGAGCTGCGTGGGGCTCATCTATGCCCTGGTATAGAAGAGTGAAGCAACAAGACTTTATTGAGATGAAAGATGAAATGAAATACAAATACCACAATCACTGAGTGTTCTTAACATCCAGTTTCAAACATAGGGCAGCACTTTTTAAAATGGGGTTCCAGTTTTTAAAAGTAGTTACTTGTTTTTTTTTTCTTTTAAACTTTCTGTTTAAAAACAGAAAAATTGAAAACACATATAATGGACGTCTTACCTTTATCATACGGTCTTGCTTTCCATAGTTCCAGTTAGCCATGGCCCACTGTGGTCTGAAAATATTAAGTGAAAAATTACAGAAGCAAAGACTTAATGATTGTCAAATAAGCTTTATGATAGTAGACGCCTGTACATTTTCAGTATTGTTATTGTTAATCTCTTACTTGCCTACTCTATAATTTAAAACTTTACCTTGTATGTGGGCAATAACAGGATGTATAGAATCCCATAGAATCTTGGAATGTATCCCTGACAAACTGCTATACATTTTTTAAATTAAAAACTAAAATTAGTTCTTACGGCACTACTTGTATATACTTATTCCAACAAAATTGGGACTTTACAGTCGATGCTCTTTTGAAACTGCTCTTTTTTGTCAAATAGTTTGTTATTTTCACATACCAGTAAATGTGACATATTTTAGCGCAGCATTGCATTCTGCCATACAAACATACCATGTTATTATTGATGATATAATTTTTTGTTGTATTTGGTCTGATTAATCATTCTGTGTGATATCATTGCATACCAGTTTACCATTCAGCTGGGTTAGTTACACTGCTAAGTATGGAAATAGTGGCTTACTTAAGGGGTCCCATCAGCCCTTCTGTCCCCCCACCTCTCCTCTGGTCTGCTTATCATCCAGCACTGGCTGAGGAGCGGGTTCCTGGTGCAGGAAAGAGCAGGTGCTCCAGGTGTCATCCATCCTGTTTTGTCCTGGTGGTGACTTATCTATCCAAAATAACGGCACCCCAGAAACTGGGTTTCTCAAAGCCGTGAAACTCTTTGACCAAGAAATATGTGTCAAGATCCTCTCAGAAAATAGCAACTTAGGATATTTTATGGGGAGTTCAATAAAGGGGTGGTTTTAAAAGGAAACTAGAATGTGGAAAATCCATAACACAGTCTGAAAAGAAAAGGGTTTCACCCTGAAGCATGAGTTCAATAGTTGCTGGAACCTGTAAGGACAAAAGCCCTTTTGAGAAACAGAGAAACTTGCAGTTGAGAGCCGCATCCATTGGACTCCCCAGAGAACCCAGGGACTGGGTACTCTAACTTCCTTCCTCTGGTCATTTACCAAGGATTCTCCTAGGTGGTCCCAAGAAGTAGTCAGGGAATTGTCTCTGCAGTTTCTTTTAGGCCATCCTTCATGGTAGAACATTAATTTGGAGGGAGAAGCCTAGAAGAGCCTTGGTACACATTTAGCTTTTTGTATGTGGAAAAGTATTTTGGAGCCTCAAGTGTAGCCTATAATCGGGAAGTAAGTTGATTATATTTCCATGACAGGTAGGTAACCTGACTGTAAACAAACGGAATGCAGCCTGGTGCGGTGGTGGAAGGGAAAACCACAGGGACATCAGAGTCCTGAGAGATGCAGAGAGAGGGAAAGCCACGGCGGATGTGGGGGGGGGCACCTTGCGTAAACACCTCCTGGCCACAGAGGTCAGCAGTGACAGGAGTGGGTGTGTAACCACAGAGAACAAGCTTCGCCCTGATTACCTTCAGTTCTCTCTCCACAGGACCTGTGGGCCAACTCCTAGATTCATGTGTGTTCTAAATCCACCTCAGTAGTGACGTTGAAGAACATCTCGGCTATATAACTCAGCTAGATAGCACCTGAATCCTTTCATGAAATGAAATTTCATGAAGAAGTTCAATATAAAACTTCTGTGTTTGGGGTGGTGCCCCTCCTTTTCTGATGTGTACCATGGACACTTAGATGATGTGATGAGGTCATGTTAGGTTGTACAGTCTCGTGATTTAGACCCTGTCTTCCATGTTTATAGATGGAGCCTTATGGTAGTTCCCAGGTTATGGAGGCTTATGCTTTCTCTCCTCTATACTTAGCTTATTAGCTGGTTAATAATGAATTAGTAGTGATGTAACCACCCAGCTATCTGAGAGGTGAATACCTGTGGTATCTACCACAAATACACATGTAATCTCCGAACGTTTGTAACTATATTGGTGTTCTCAGCGGAGTCTGAATTGCTCACTGTGTTGGATGTGTATCCAGTGCACCAGTTTTCAAACACTCAGAGATTCTAGTGCCTAGCAAGGACTGAGGATTTCTGATCTGGTTGGGGCCTAGTGAGAGCTACAGTTCCCAGAAAGAGCAGGTTAGTTTTGAGTCCAACCCCGGGCAGCGGCAGGTGTAGTCTCTGCTCTACCAGATTGTAGAATCCAGGGGAAATGAAAGCACGCTCTATCTTGAAGAAGGATTCTGGTTTTGTGACATGGAAGTTACATATGCTGCTTATGATTGTGTTGTTTTTATGAGACTTTGTAAATTAGAAATAAGCTGAGTAATAAAACTCTAGTGAGACACAAATACTGTGTGCCCATGTGATTGGATGTACAGAGTTATGCTTCCGGTGATCCACCACTGACATCCTGCTGTGCACTTAAAGTGATTACTGTGTGTTCTGCATGCACAGAAATCAATATTCATACTATTTATGTTTCTTGTGGAGAAAGTGTATTTTAACCATGGGCAATCATATTTTTAATGTTTTAATTTTTAATGTTTCCAAAGTGACTCAGCTAAATTATTCTAAATTAGGCAGTAAACTTTAATATCTTTTCTAGGTATAATTTCAAGAGAGTGCTATTTCTAAAATGACCCATTTCTCTCATATAATAAATGTCCCTTGGTTTATTATGTAAAGACACGTGTATGGCTTGTCTAAATAAATAGTAAGCCATACATCTCTTGTATGCACTTTCTTTGTTCCATTGTAAAGCTTGTGCATTGCTAGTTCTGGGCTGAGCATCTCAGTGGCCTGGGGAAGGGCCTCCTCCCATGTCCTCTGCTCTTTGGTACAATATCATTGACACCATAATAAAGGCATGGCAGTGTCATATCGCCAGGACTGTGCCTCGTCCTCCTGAATGCTGCACCTGAACTGAAGTCACTCAACTGATGCGCCCTTCATCCTTCTTGCCGAAATTCCCAGTTGCAGCTGCACAAGAGAAAACGAGAGGGTAGCCTAATTAAAAACGTTCTTTCCACATTTATGTTGTAAAGACAGCAACATGCTTATGAACTCTATCAGTGGCCATCGTCAGGAAATGAAATAGCTTTGGTTCCATGCTGCCCTTCCAGAGCGAACGTTTACTACCCTGACATCATCATCAAGATGTAATGCGTTAGAAAGAAACAGCCCTTCTCAATACAAGCAAAAAACAAACAGAATGAAACAAAAAACCCCAAACAAGAAAAACAAACAAACAAAACTAAGAGCATAAGAATGGCTTTTCATGCTGAATACAAAAGAAAGCGATCAGATTTGTAGTAATGTACCAGATTCTGCCCATGACACATGTCAGAGGCAGTGGCTTCCTCGCCCTCTGCAGAAACAAGCATTTCTCCCTGGGCTTTGAACATTGCTGGGTATTGGGAGAGAAATGTGCATTGAAGGGTACTGATGGCAGTGCCAGTGTTGCCTAACCTTGTGGGGCTTTGGGAGCCTTGAAAATTATTGAACAATGGTGCGATGCCTGCATAGTGTGGCACGGAGGGCAGCTGCTGTGGCTAAAAGCACTTCTCTCCTGCGGAGTGCCAACTAGTCCACTACCCTCCATAGGTCAACCCAGCTTGTTCCTTTTGACTTCCTTCCAGAATATCCCTTAAAGAGACCAGGCTGCATTCCTTCTCGATACCCCATTTAGAGTCAGCTCCTCTGGACAGTGTGGGAGTCTTTGGATCTGAATAGTGTCCTGTCATGGCCTATGATTCACAGTACCAGTTTTTAATAGACTGAAAGCTGTGAACACAATGGCGATTGGACCCAAGTTGCCGATATGGCTTCATCCGTGGTATCAAAATGCCTTGCAGGGTGGAACAGCTGAGAACATGCAGAGTGTTCTAAGTCCTAGTCCTTAGTGCTCTCAGAAGGAACTGAACATTAGTCTGCTCAGACTGCCATTTAGGAAAATGGTGTAGCCCAGCTTTCTCTCAGCTCTGGTCTAGAGTTCCAGCATCAGGTCTCCAGCTGAGGACCTGGGTTCTGATGATGCAGCTTTGCTGGCTTTCGTGCTGTGTCTTCACAGCCTTTCCCTCACATCTGTCCCGTGGGGCGGGGTAGGGGAAGAGGACCGCAAACATTTCGTACCAGGTCACAAGTCCTGTTGGATCAGGTTCCCCCCCCTTATGACATTAATTTCTTTAAACTTAATTACCTTAGGAGCTCCATCTTTAAGTGCAACCCCACTGGGGTTAGGAAGGGTTTCAATTTTAGGGTACTGGGAAACATAAATATTCAGTCCACAATCACCCCTTATTTGTTAACATTTATTTTTCCAGAAGAGTATAAAATGACCAAGGGCTATCTATTCGGCTGTAGTAAAGAATTTTCATAGGCCAGACATTGTTGAAAACTTGTATATGCGTCGTGTTTGGTTATTATGATTTTCATTTCTCTGTCGCAATGGACCCTTTCTGTGACCCCAGAAGGTAGATATCATTTGTCTTTGGTTAGCAGCATTACACAGCTTAGATAGATTAGGTAGTTCACTACTTATGAAATTACCTGTATACAGGCTGTAATGAGATTATAGGCTTGTCCTGGGAGGTGTGTCACACGTTGATTATGACACTTGTGCCGTAATCTGTCTATCTAATGTCACAGGTCAGTCGAAACAAGTCCCACAGCTCGCTCCAGGCCAGGACGACTACTGCGGAGTCATACACGGGGGGGGGGGGGGGAGGTATTTAGAATCCATCATAATGGCGTCTTTGCTCCTGTTCTTTGTGAAAATGGTTGCCAGCGCTATCCAGCCTGTGCTATGTTAAAGAGCCTTTAGCCAACTCCCACTTGGGAATTCATCGTGACCAGATACCCAAACCTTACAGCAGAGCTTCACGTGTCACAGACGTTCCGCAAGTGTTGAACTGGTGGAATTGCTAGCCTCCTTGAGATCACAGGACCCTGTCAACATCATCCTGATGATGCCGCTGCCATTTTCTGAGGATCGTGTAGGGGAGTGTTCATGCTGTCTACTTTAAAAAGCTAATTGTAGCTCTTCCCCTGTTTCCCCCTGGGTTTATATGAATTTAGGCCAAAATTGTTTAATTTTGGCCGCCTTTACTAGAGATCCTCCTATTGAAATATCTTTCACGTTTTCTACCGGTCAAAAACTAATTCTATATAGGATTCACTTAAAAATTAAGATCTTGAGGGCTTAAATTTATCATTTATGCTTTGTCTTGAAGTCTCATTATTCTAGATGCATTTCCTCTTTCTCAGCCTCTGTAAAGAACATACACAAAAAACAAAAGAAATCAAGAATGAGTAGAAGGTGTAACATTGCTAAATGGAAATCCCTGAGAGGAAACAAGGCTGAGAGTACCACAAATGTGTACTGGGAGAAGGAGAGTATTGGATGGGCCGAGGGACGAGCTGAGGTCATTCCACAGACAAGAGGGGGCTCCATAGGCCAGTCAGGGAATAAAGCTTGTTTGAGAGCAGTTCTTCTGTATATTAGTACTTGTAGCAATTACACAAATATTCAGTTGAATCTCACAACTATTCCTAAATTAAACAATTCTATCTTTAGCAATTTTCTTCCATAAAAAGAATCCTGTAAAAATTAAAATTATATATGTCATGAATGTGTCTGTGTACATATAGAAGCAATGCTATACAGTCCTTCTACTGAAAAGGGCACTTTGAGAAACCTAAGTGATATTATTTCATTTTCTGTTCTATAAAGTGAATTTTTATTCTTTTAAAAGAGCTCGCATTTAAGGGTTTTTTTTTTTCAATAATCCTATGACTGAATGCTTTAGTACAGCAACCTGAAGCTTTTTTATTATTTTATGTGTTTATTTTTATCTTCTCTGTGTGTACATGTTTGTATGTGCTTGCATATGTTCGTGTGTGTGTGTGTGTGTGTGTGTGTGTGTGTGTGAAAGAGAGAGAGAGAGAGAGAGAGAGAGCTGATTACCCCTACCACCTTGTAATTTTTCCTCTCGTTGGAACATTTTTATATGTAAACGCACAGTAACTATACAATGTATGACATTAATACATGGGGTTCTCTTGAAGGTTTTGAGCTCTTCCAGCGACCTTTGTATATCATTGCCTATATTTAAGAAATGGTATTTTTCTACTTTAACCTATATATACATAAGCATATGTGTGTATATAATATATGTATTTTTAAGTGTGTACATATATATATTTTTCTCCTTTTGCAGCCCACCAGATGCAAAGCAGACACACATCTGGCTTCTATCAACTAGGGAGTAGCTTTGAGCACATCCTGTTAAATTGTCTGTTCCCAAAAGCAATCCCAACATATTCAGCAAATGGTATTTTTCCCCCACAGTTATGTTCTTGATTGGACCACAAATTTTTCCATAATGCTGTACTTAAAAAATAATACAGTCTACTCTTTATTCATAATCGTCAGTAACCCCCATCCCAGCCTTCTTTAGGGAAATATTTTAAACGTGACACATTAAGTAAATTGTATCTTGGTTCTGGAAAGAGACATCAAGAGTCTCTGGGCCAGCTCTGGAGTCACGTGGTTGAGCTGATTTCTTCCTTATCATTGCATAGGAGATATAGCGCGTGTAGTTGGCTCTCTCCTGGCTCGTGTCTCGGGCATGCTAGATGCTAGTATTGCCCCTAGAATGGTTTCAAATCAAACACTTATAAAGGAAATCAGATTGCTAGTTTCAAAGTTAAAATTAGCTTGAATTTTATTTTGATATTTACACTAATAAAAGTTTGAGATGTAAGAGAACTATTTCTTTAGGATAAAAATATTATAAATGTTCCATGGATCTTCTTCGGGGCATTTTTTCTACAAGCATTGTTCATGATCCAGCTGTAACTGCTAAGGGCTTGTAATCAGTATTCATCACCCATTTTTTGTTTTGTTTTATAATTATAATTATGGTTAAACTCCACGTTTATGTCATGAGGGGTATATATTACCAGTAGTCACTTGGGGTCCTTGATTCACTGGGTATCAGAGAAACAAACAGAACCCCAATGTATAACAGTGGTAGCAACTTCCTCAATAGGGGTAGTGTGATCGTTGGAATGAATTGTCAACTTGACAGAATACACAGTCACTTGGGTGATGTCTCTGGGGATGACTGTGGGGATCATCTTGTTTCCATTACTTGATGTGGGTCGACCCATCTTAATTATGGGTAGGAGCTTCCCCTGCACGTATAAGAGGAGGAGAGCTGAGAAACAGTACAGTCTTTACAGTCTTCTGATTATGGACAGGACGTGAGCAGCTGCCTCTGGCTCCTGTTGCCGTGACACCCCTGCCCTGGTGAACTGCTCCTTGAACTAGGAGCTAAAGTAAGCACTACTCCCTTGAGTTCTGTGAGGTTATTTTATCAGAGCATCAGGAAAGAAACTAAGACAGGGTGCAAGCTATATTATTCTGGGGTTTGAATCATAAGTTGAGGCATAAAGTAGAGCCTGTGCTCCTTTTCAGATATGAAGGGAAACAAGGAGTGGAAGGAGGGCATGAATTACAAAGTTACCCTGCGTCTCCCCAAGTGAGCCTCATCATTGACCTGTGAGCACTCAGATGATTACGGGTTTGGGTGAATCAAATCATCAGCATCATTCATGTTTCTTTGCAAAATGAATCTGGAATTTTCAT